CAACGACCAGGAGCATATCACAGCTCCCTCGGTAACCCCCCCTAACACCCCAGTGTTCTTCCCTGCGCCGCCATGGTCACGCCAGCGCCAAGTTTTGGCAATCCAAGCAGACAGATTTGTCGGCCCGTGAGCAATCCCCCAACGCCCGAACGCCGCCACTAACGCTGCGCTAACGCACCGCCTTTGGTCAATTTTTGTTTGTTTGGTGGAGATTTGGGATGTGACCCTGAGGCAAAAGTTGTTCAGTTTATTTTTCTGCATAATATACTTTTTATTCGGATTTTTTTTTTTTTTTTGCTGGGACCTTACGAGGACCGGCCGGGCCGCCCGCAAAAAAAAGGTGACCTGGGCGGTCCAGCTGGTCGCCTAGATATGGGACCTTTTTTTTCTTTTTTTAATAAATAATGAAATACAGCTGAAAGAATATAGGAATGATGTTAAGAGCATGCACTCCTACCTACCCTGCCACTGACTCCAATTTATTGGTGGGGAGTAGCACCTGCTGGAAACTGGGTCCAGCATCCAAAGAATACATTTCAGAGATCACATTGTGACGAAATCTATACGGAACCTATCCTCTTTCTTTTTTTGTGCGTGTTTTTGAAGAGAAACATCAAGGGCCAGGCCTTCAACGTTGCACGGATAGGAGCCCTCCCTAGCCCGTTGAAGGCCGGCTCCGATCTTAGGGCAAACTCATGCCGGAACTTCTTTGACTGAGATCTGGACGTGATTCTCATTAATCATGTTGTTGTTGTTGTTGTTGTTGTTTTTGAGAAAACAACCCCGGAGAAGACGCCTCAAGCTTCCTCGGAGGAGGCTCCATCTATTGGTGGGGAGCTGCACCTGCTGGAAAACAGGCCCAGCGTCCCTTTATACATTTGTACATTAAAAACAGGGACAGGTTGAAACATGTGGGGGGATCGCCTTTGTCAATCTGACGGCAGACTGCCATTAATATTCAATGAGACACTAGCTACTCCCCCCCTTTATTCACTGTATGTTGGTCGATGTCGAGGGTGGCCACATTCATTCTCCTCTATTCATCCTCCTCCCTTTCGGATCTAATCCCTAGACCCTAAACCCTAAACCCTTGATACATGATGAACATTAATCATGTTGTAGTAGCAACTGGACAAGAATTTGAGACTATCTCATGTCTCCCCCTGGCTGAGACCGGCAATGAAGTCGTATTCTATCCCCTGCTATCCCCCAGTCCCTGCTATCCCGCAGTCCCTGCTATCCTCCCCTACTAACCCCGTTACCCTGTATCAGGGGGAGTTGCAGGTGGACAGCTATTCCGGTCCTCTTATACCCTCTTTACTCTGATGGTAGTTCCTCCTATTAAAGGGGGAACCTTCCTTATTCTGGCAGAAAAATCCTGGCCGAACAGAACCATCATAAGGGAGTTATATTCAGGGTAAAATTGACATTTCGTTAAAACTGACATTTTTTTCTGAATTCACGAAAGTGGACTTAGTCAAAATTTCATTGCTCATCGGGTGAGAAAGTGGTTATCTCACTTTGTCCATCTGATGTACCTCAACGTAAAGTACTGTTAACATACATCCAATGGTCAGATCATCGGGAGTCGCCATGACACCCGATGATCTGATCATCCGACGTCATGGGGACAAAAAAACACTAAAAAATGTTGTTTTGTGGTACGCTCAATTTCATGAATTTAGAAAAAAATGTCAGTTTTAACAAAATGCCAGTTGTAATAAGTTAGCTGTGACCGGGCGATTCGATCACCTCGTGCATTTCTTGATTGCCAAGGTTTTGTTCTTTGGACTTCACACTCCGAAGGGAGGAAATGGTAACTACATTCCTCCTCTGAACATAACTCCCTAAGATCATCATGAATGCATACACACCACGATGGCCAAGGTTTCGTTCCTTGGACTTCGCACTCCCAATGGAGGCAATGGGAGCTACCTTACCTTACACCCCTGAACATAACTCCCCAATAAAATGTATACAGACTATCCTGGTCGAGTAGAACCATAATAACAGGGAGGTATGTTCAGGGTAACAAGGTTGTCGGTCGCTACTGATCAGTACTTTCTAGCCTCGGATCCATCCGTGCACGCGTGGAATCGAACCAGCACCCTTAGCCACAAGAGCCAGCTGCAGGCAGCAGATCCAAGATGTGGGGACACCTAAGGATCCCAAGTTCTCCATTGGTTGGAAATCGGGATCGCCCGAAAGTGCAAACACTGGGGGCGACGGAGGGACCATAGTAGTGATTGATGCCAGACATCACAAAGGGTCCTGTGGAGAACACAGATTCCATTGCTCATTCACACGGCGTCCATCCAGGTCGCAGTTGCAGAGCCTCCACTACACCCATGACACGATGTTCTAAAGTGGAACCATACCTGTCGGAATACCTAACCGACCCCTGCATGGCTGCAGTGTCCTTCACTCACTCACGCACACAACACTACACAGGCAAATGCCGCACAGGCAATTCTCGCTTCAATCCAGCACATGATCCTCCCACCGCTCCTGACCACCAGATGAGACAAATCATCCCTCACCGGTTATCAGTTGCTTCCACAAAGGTAGTGTCACTCCTCTTGGGTCATGAGTGATTGCAGATGGCATGCATACCTGTGGACGTATGGGATCATATAAATGATTCCGCAAACATTTCTCAACTGCCATGCCCATAGGCGAAGCTCATGGCTCCATAGCATTGACATTGCATAATGCAAGTCCAAAACCATCGGCGGTGATCACATGAAAAGAACGCATCATACACAAACCAGGCGTATGTACAATGACCACATGAAAAACGAATGCACCATACACGAAGCACGCACATGTATGCTTGGGCTAATGGCCAGGGCTCAACTTTTTTTTTTTTTTTTTTTAATTTTAAATCATCAGTTGGTCCTGCTAGGGATAGTGATACGAGCACCCACCCCTAGCAGGCTGCCTGTTGGCTCCAATCTATTGGTGCGGAGCTGCACCTGCTGGAAAACGGGTCCAGCGTCCTTTATACATAGTTTTTCAGACACGCAAGTAAAATTCACAGGTAGGACACATCCAGTTTCATCAAAAGTTGGACCACGACAACATTCAAAACGGATTCATGCATGCGATGATGACATGGCATAGTATTTGGAACATTTCAATTTTGGACATTTGCGCAGGCATGAGCAGAAAGATCTTGTGTTTGGAAGGTTGGAAATGTTCCTTCTTCCTGTCGGAAAAGTCGATTGACTACTTCGGGAGCGATGTAGCTCGTACCTCGGAGCGATGGTGAGGTGAGAAGATGGTGATGAGGTGTTGTATCATCTGACAGGATATGAGCTACCATAACATCTGCGAGGACGAAAGGAGCTGAGGGAGAATGGAGGAATGATCGCTGCCCTTCTCTTCCCCCTCGTTCCACCCTCCCAAGATTCTATTTGTGTTGCTGAACATCATCATAGTGCTTGAGACTGATCATGTCCTTCAGGGAACTGTCCAGGTTCTATGAAGGTGGAAGATGTTGTCGACCATTCGAGCTTGAAATGAGAGTAACCTGTCGAAGAGCCTACCTAACTGCGCTCAACAGGCCTGCCATGCTGCTAAGCCAGGGGGTTAAAAGGGGTTTCGAGATAGTGGCCTCTCGAGGCTATGCCATTGGGCGATATCTGATGAAAAAAAAAAATAGTAGATGTCCGGAACCATTCTAGTTTGAATTCAAAGTGGCCTGTTCACGGCCCTACCTAGCCACGGTAAACTGACCTGCCACACCTCTAAGCAAGGGGTCAAAAAGAGGGGGTAGTGAAAGGGCCCTCTGGAATCCATGCCTTTCCGGGATATCAGAATCATCAGATGGGAAAGTTGTGGGCGGCAGTGAGGTGTTCACATTCCCAGAGCATTGACAGGTGGTATAAGAAGGGCTCTGCAGAGGGCCGCATTTTCTAAGACACCTGAATGGTCGTGGCAAAGGCGAATGATCCTTCTTGAAAGGGAACACTGGATGCATTGGATGCATTGTCCATCCAGGACACCTGAATGGTCATGGCAGAGGAATCAATCCTTTTTGAAAGGAAACATCGACAGTAAGTGATTGGCAATGCAAACTATGGGTTCGATTTGCAAATTCAGAAAGGTTTAAATGAATGTTTATTCCATGCTGAAGACATGAAATTAGATAGGTCACCGAACTTTCCACTGCCGTGTTGTTCAAATGAGCTGAACTGGAGGTGCAAGCTGAAGCAGAGAGGTACAAACTTCTACAAAGACATGCAGTCGTTCATCGACTGACATTAGCAGATGGGACGGAAACTCAGAGCATTTGTCCGCGGGGGAAGGGGAGAGAAAGACAGGACCATGTCGAGGAAGCTTCCACCTCAGCTGCCGTGCAGTTATGGAAGAGGATGCTGACATGTCGGTTGGTTAAAGGTGTGCGTGTACGACTCCTGTCTACTTTTGCATTGGGGAGTGGGGGAAACAGAGATCTGCATGTAAGTTGGTTGAAGTTGTGGGTGAACATGTCCTTGCGGCTCTAGCATTTCATGATGCCCAACGAAGCAGGGGCCAGAAAGGCCCTTACCTGATGCATATAGAACCTGGTGGCGGGAAAGAGGTTGTTTTCGAGGAAACTCTCCGCTTCACCTGTCTTGCAGGTATGAGAATGGGTGCTGAGTCTGCTGGCATGCCATTTGGTTGAACGTGGGTCGACTAGTCATCTTGCAGTGTGGCACAGACTGCATGTGGAACCAGCAGGGCCGGGACTTGCAGTCGTTACCTGACGCGTTGGAATGGGGGTATTAGACGGGAAGGGCTATTTAGAGGGGGGTCTCAGCTTCAGCTGTTGTAGAAGGGATGTTGCAATGCCCTTCGCCTGAAAGCAGGCAAATGCCTTCTCTTGCGTTGGAAGGGGGTATTAGATGCTTTGGTAACCAGCGCCGCAGGGACTTTGGGTCCTTAGTACTCCTTGCGCGATGAATTGGGAAGGGCTAGAGGGCAAGGACTGGGTCCTGATCGTGTAACCAGCGCCGCAGGGACTTTGGGTCCTTAGTGCTCCTTGCCCGATGAGTTGGGAAGGGTTAGCGGGAAAGGAGTGGGTCCTGATCGTGCTTCCTGCTTCAGCTGTTGTTGTGTAGCTGATCGAAAGGCCTGCTAACATGCCAGGTATGTTCAAGGCAGGTCAGTGATTTCTCGACTGCCTTATGTTGCCTGCGGGCTCTGCAACATTTTTTCTTAAGGCATAGGGCCACAAAAGGGTACCTCGGTACCACACTTCCAGCAGGGCGGGCATATTATTAACACAATGCTGAGAACAGTAACTCGCTCATAGCACGAGAGCACAAAGTGGTACCTGAAACCACCAGTACCTTTCTCAGCTATCAACTCCGACCCTGGAGCTACCGGTAAGCCTTGCCTTGCTGAGCCTAGAGCTAACGGTAGCACCGGTGACTTACGTGTCGATGTATTGTCGACACCATACTGGGCACAGTAAGTCACTGGCAGTATGGGGTCACAAAAAAAGTGGCACCTGAAGTGCACCCATGCAGCTGTGTGGGCATGCTATGAACACCATACTGGGGACAGGAACTCTCTTACAGCTCATGCTTGCTTGCTGATTGTGACGTGGGTAGATGTCCAAGAGGATGCCAGCTGCCAGTTGCGGGTTTGACAAGATAAGGAGGGCCACAACTCAGCAGGGCGGATCGGGGGTGCATAACCCAAGTTGCTTGTGTTGCTACCAGAATCCTCCTGCTCATCTTAAGACTCTGTAAGGACACCAAAAAAAAAAAAAAAAAAAAAAAAAAAAAAAAAGGTCTCTGGCGTTCCGTGTTGGACCCATTCCCACTTTGGTTGGGTCTTTCATAATCAGGAAGTGAGAGTGTTGCTGCACAATTTAGAGAACTTAGGGCTGAGCAGTGAGTTAGTGAGTTGGAGTTGGAGACACCAGATGCAAACCGCAGTTTGTGCTTGGTTTAAACCACCACTACCTCTGAGAAGTTGTTGTTTAGTCACTTGTCCCCAAATCAATACCAACAACAGATGGGTAATCAACTCCCATACGGTCAGTATCCGCCGATTTGGACCTTCTTTTTCTTTTTGCTGAAGCAGAAAATAACTGCATGCCAAGCTTTGCCAGAGCGGCAGCATGGCACTTTTTCCCTCTTTTGGCTTGTGCTGCCAACCATCGGATTCCAGTAGCCCCGAGCCTCCAAAGAGCCCGGAATCATCACCGGATTGTCTCATTTGTTGAGTCTCGACGTTGCCTGGGAAAGGTAGTGGTGGTTTATAGTTTAAACACCAGTACCTACCGGTTGGGCCGGCTGTTAACGCAGTAGCCGTATCGGCCTGCCCCCCGGTCCAAATTCATTCGAGGCCAGCGGGTACAAAACATGCGGTAGGTAGTGGTGGTTTAACTGTCTGCATCCACCTGTGGTAGCTATCACAACTTCTCACACTGGCAAGCCATACTGATTGTGAAAAGGTCTCCAAGTCCAAACAGTGGCAGGAAATACCAATTCAAAATTCAAATGGATTTCACAATCTGCAGGGGATGAAGCACCGATGTCCAAAGGTCTTGCATCCTGTGAGGGGAAACAACTGTGAAAAGAATTCGGAAGAGGCAAAACCTTTTCAGTATTCCAAGGCCGTTTTCACGGCTTTCAGAAGCGCAAGCGAATTCAAGCAGGTGTTGCAGCGATCTGCACATACCCAATCCAAAGACTCCAAACTGGAGAAAAAAAAGGTTCCGCAACGTGCACAAGTTCTAGCCAATGTGAAAAGGTCTTATGGTTTGCATATGTCCAGGAGAATGTCAAACGCCATCCATGCAGCTCGCCAAAACACAGGAAAGTAATCAATAGGTCGACAATCTGCAGCAAGAAGACCAAGCCCACACGGCAAGATGCAGAAGCTGCCAGTAGCCCCAGCTGCTGCCTCTGCTTCTGTGCACTCTGGTTCTGCAGCTAGGGCTGCAAGGGTCCATTCTCCACCAAATGCA